TGAGCATCGGTTGACTTCCCATTTCATAACTGTTTTCTCACCGCGCTCTTGTGATCCTCACGCCCTTGATCGTGCCTACTGACTGACTTTTGGGAGGACACACAATGTTAGCGCTTTATATATAGAGAGGATAGTCTTGGCCTATACGTAGCAGGCATTCTGAATGAGTAAGCAATTCCAGCAATTGTAGAGCTTTCATCTCATCGTTCTTCTCATTTGGTCTTCTTGTCATCTCTGTCCCTCTCCCATTTCCTAAAATCCCAGAGTCTGCTGGTTTCATGTTCGCCCCTCTTGGCTTATATGTCCCCTTCCATTTCCTCAAACCCTACAGTCTGCTGAATTCATGATACATCGTACGGTCGTGATGCATAAAGATCACCCTGTTTCTCTGGGATGAAAATATTCAGTGGGTAGAAATAGCCAGCCAGATGCCCTCAATGATCGTAGAATCGAATGCACAATGATTCAGTGGACTAAATGCATTTGCAGACCTGCGCAAATAGCATTCAATGGAGCATTCGTTTACCGAGAATTGGGACCATCTGAAAATATTGAAGTTTTCGTAGTTTGCAGAAAAAATAAAGTAAAAAAGTTAGTGTCTCGAAATCCAATAAAGGGTTGATTGTAGCGAATAGTCCGCTCAAAATTTAATACTACTTCTTCTTTTTGTCCCTAAGGTAATGCCCCGCCGTCGCAGTGTCAGCTGTTCTCGTCAGCCGCTTCCTTTTCCATCTATCTACGGCATCTACTGCCGTTACCTTAGCTTCGGCGAGGTCGGACGGTGAAGGTACGGTTTTCCGGTGAGGAACAGGTTTTCTATCTGAACGTCTCTAGTGGGGCGAATCCAGGTGTTGTGATATGACTCATGCTTGGTTGACCGGATTGGCACTACATATTCTTTTCTGATCCTGACTCAGAAGGCTTGCACGTCGCCAAGCTCTCATCCAGAACATCAAAAGTTCTATCTCCCCCTCCCCATTGAATTGTTCAATGTTTCTTTACCACCTCCCTCCAGCACAGCATAGTGGCGTAAGTCGTTATGCTGGAGCAACGCGTCACTGTCTGAAACCAGAAAACCTGAAGTAAAAAGTTTATTCAGTCCCCTGTCGACTGCAGCAGACAATAGACGAAGTCTTGCACTGTCATTGTTGTTGCACGGCCATTCAGCAACCATGTTCTTCGATAGTTCGTTAGGCATCTTATCGACAAGAATTTCCCATTTATTAGATAGTCGCACCTCCTTTTTAACGTTTAAGAGGTTTATTTCTTCATAAGTTTGATTCCATCTTTTCAAGCTCCAGAGCAGGCCTTTTTGCCGATACTAGGCCGTTGAGGTTTTACGAACCTCGTGCGGGGAACACTTTTTTTTTAAATATGTCCTTAATATAAATCTTTGTGAAAAGAAAATGAGTGCCAAGTAAAGTTGCTTTCATGTCGCCCTGACACTATTAACCCACTTTCGCATGATACTTAGAAGTTTTATGGTCTATGAACAATCTTTTAGAAACTTCCATCTCTTATTACAACTCTACGTCCACCTTCGCAAGGAAACCTTTCTGAATCACATTCTATTTTTGGGACTTGGAGTGAAAGTGGGGACGTTCAGGATCGGTTGAAAGTGCTAATTGATGGGTGGTTTTCAAACTTCAACTTAATGAACTTCAACCGGCACACCGCCATTTTTTAACGTATTGGGTGTCACCTAATTTTTATCCAAGATTTTTAGGCTGAGCAGCTCGATGAACCCTACATAAACGAAGATCTTAATGCAAGAAATTTTTCAAAATCTTACACGAAAAGAAAAACCGATTAATTGAGATGATATGCTGGTACTGAGCAGGTCATGATAAGGACCTATTTCTACGATCGACTGATGTCATTTTCCGGAATGAAAGCAGATCAAGTAGAGTGACCGAGTGTTTTCAGACCGCGACGAGATCTGGGTCGCGCTGCTGTGTCCCACTCCCTCTCAATCGTGGATCCGTCGGAAGTTCAGGTGTTCAAAAACCGTCACACACTAATCATTTAAAAGATTCGTGACCGCCGGTGAATAACCAGATGCAAGGGTACCGTCGAGTGGTGGGACAGATCGCGTCGGCAGCGGCGTAACCATTCGATACAACCAGTCCGCTGTCATTTTCACTGCGTTATGATTATCGCTGCTCTTCAGTTGATCAGTTTCGACCCAGCTGTGGAATGGTGTTGCGATTTGAGAACTGAATGTCTCCTTTTCAATCATGGTCATCTTCAAAATTCTTGTTCTGGTCTGGTACTGGTCTTTGCCTCACAATCTCTTCTCTCCGCAAACTTGACTTTCTTGAGATTTTTGGATGTGGAAGGTTCAATTCTTTTCTTGGTCGCAGGTATTATTCTTATTTCCTTGAGAGATTGCCCAAAAGCCCGCGCCTATTGATTTACCGCAGCAGAACAGTACGCTGAACCATTTTGTGGAAGTGAAACTAATTCTAGAATGGGTCCCTAATCAGAAGATCCAAATGAAGGCTAGAGTGAGGGGGCCTCCAGCACCAAGGTCGACTATGAGTGAGGAGAACTTTTGAAGAAAACAGTTTGAATAAAAAGTGGAATACATGGATAGAGGATGTGAAAATCCCCGGGACTGTGGCGATGAGATTCTGGTCACTCCCCGCTGAGCATCAACCGACCATTCAACGCGTAGAGCTGTCGGCGATCCGGTCCTGGCCTTATTGTCCTCGACGGCCGAAGGCTCTCGGCGTCGTCCTCCTCTTCGCCTCACTGCAGACCACTGCAGCCAACAGGAGATCTTTTGTTCTCGTTTTAGCTCAACGATATCCTCACACACTCGTTCACTTCAGCTTCATGCCCAGCCAGCTATCAGTGATTTCATCTTTCTTCTAGTTTAACGCCATCCTCTAGCAGTTATCCGATTCAAGACTGATTCTGTCATTTCGCGGATAAGAATTCCTTACGTAGGCGAAAACGCTGATAAGCGGTATCTCCGTGACCTTTTCGAGCGTATGTATTGAGGTGGAGTCTGTTGAGTGTCAACAGAATGAGTTTCATTTTAGATGGACCAAACTTCTACCTAGACACGCTTATCAGGGTTTTCCGGCAATAAGGTCTTGAGAACAAAATAGAGAAGACTTGTAAATTTCATGGGTTCCAGACTTTTGCCGAAGTAAGGGCCCCTTACATGGTCTTTGGAGGCCTGAAACTATATGTGCTAGTTGCCATTTTAGTACCGCTCTCCGGCTTGAATAACGCAAGGAGTTCGAGATTCAGGAGCTCAGATAGGGCAGGAGTAGGGCATACATGCGTGTGGTAGACTTAGCCATTTTAGAATTTACTCAAAAAGTCCTTTCAGCTACCGTATGTTATAATTGACATTGATTACCGAACATTCTGCTGACTACATCATTATACGCCTGAAGGATCTGGAACGCACCACCTTTCTCGTCCTTTCATTTGAACTGAAATAAAGTGGGGGAAAGGCGCTTATTGGTTCAAGTTCGGATAGTTTTTGATTGAGTGTACCTTGATGGACCGATGAAATCTTGGAACCTTCACTGTCTTAAGGCTCTTACTGGGTGGAATTGTTCCGAATTATCGCTCCAAGATACCACTTCTCATAGTTTCTGCAAAGCAGATTTCTCCCACACGAGGAATGATTAAGGATGGTGCTTGGAACCGCTTGCTCCATCTTGCTGGCCGAAAATGATATGGAAAGGCTGATGACTTACGTTGTACCTATTCAAAGACAACTTTGCTTTTCATTTGACATTGCCGGAGGTGGGACGGTCTTGTTTTCAGTAATGATAGTAATTATAAGAATCAGAAAGAAGGAAGGGAGGCTTTCTTCGCTCTGGTCGATCCGCGTTCATAAATGAAGATCCATACGAGCAACCCTTTTGTTCGGTCGTTGAGTTATCATCTTAGGACTATATAAATACATTTTGAGATAGCTACCTCAAAAGACGATTATTCTTTTTAATACTCTTCCTAGCACTCAACTATGACTATTCAGACCTTATTATCAACTTTTTTTAGAAGCTTTTTAGTCAGTCCGACTCCCGCCTTCCCCGTAACCCATCGTTCATGGTCGGTAGCGTTGTGAATAGCTGGATCAATATGATTGCAGCCGGCCACAGGTGGTTTGTCCAGCTGGTCAGACTCATTGTAGGCAGGCTATATGCAGAATAGCCGCTGCTGAGCTGGTTCTGATCAGCCTGTCCAATCGTGTTCCAACTGCTGACTGTATACCATGACACCACAGACGCAAATATTGACCAAACCTTGCGTCAGTCGACGACAGTAACTGCTGTCTCCAGTCTCCAGGAAAAACTTGAATCCAGTTCTGCAAATCAGCTCAACAGGAGTGTCGAGGAGAATGTGGTGATAGGGATTTTCTGCAAGAAACAAGTTCCCATAGTTGAAGAGGAGAAGGGCAAGCTTGAGAAACCACACAAAAAAANAAAAAAATGATTCGCCGACGGTCTAGAAAATTGTTGGAAATTTGGTGAATCGCGTTATTTCTATAGCTACCATCAGAAAGATCAGACAGCACTTAAGCTAACATCAGGGAAGGGTAATCCCACAAATTCGGGCAGATTCCAACATTGGCGTGGGTGGATGGGAACCTAAAAGCAGACTTCCCTTTGGATTCTGCTCCACCGGCGTTTGCCAGCTTGATATGTTTGTCGAGCACTTTCTGGGTGGTTTTTCCGGCCGCCTTTAGGACGAACAACTGATCAGATGACGTTCTTCGCGTTCCTTTTTTTCTACATAACCCTGTGGAATAACAGTACGAACAGAGTACATATTTTCGCTAGGTATGTCTGTACTGTATGACGACTCACTTCCTGGAAAGTAAACAAAACGTTCGGTCAACAAACAGTCGCTTTCGTGTGCACCACTGGACTGCATGAGGCGATGCAAAACACTTTTGCATTGGTTGTGTGAGCGTGATATACTGCCTTCCTTCTTAGTTTTTTCTTGAGCCTTTCCTACAAAATTCATCTCCAATGGAAATTTCAGTGCCATTGAACTACTCCAGAACTTTAAATGAGGAGCTGGGAGCAGCAGGGATTCCCCAGTTGGCTGGGCTTCCACGTGACTTGGGAGAGGTAATTGAAGGAACACCCAAATACCGAATGAAGTAAAGTAGGAGAACATTTTAGCAAGGTATGCGAAATGTGGAAATCAGAAGGGTGTGCAGAATGAAATAGGGTTGTTTGAGTTGATAAAATGACAGAGTAGGTCCCAGTATTGTAAACGAATGTATCAAGGTGTCGTAAGGGGCAACTGCTGTATGTAGGTAAGCAGGCTCTTCATTAACCTGGTACTAAAAGTTTCGATATTCCCAAATTATAATCATCGATGCCTATTTTATCAAATGTTCCAGATCAATGTTGCAGTTGGGCTCTAAATGTATCTAATTGGAGTCTGTTTCCTCATTCCGAGGGATATACCTTTCAGTAACGTGCTATGTACTATTGAAGGCTACTCAATTTTTTGTGAAACATTGATGTCCAATTTGTTAGAATAAATGGTTCCGATGTTCAATATTGGCGTAACCTGCTGCCCTGCGATTAGGGTCGACTTGCCCTCCGTATCCGTTCTGGAATCAGCTCTCGGCCTCGTTTCGATTTCAAAACGCTTTTCCGTGTCTTTGAGCTAAGGAGGCTCCCAGTTTCGCTCTTATGAATATATGTAGTTACATGCCAAGTAAACCATTACCGTACTCCTTCCAGGTTCATCAACCGAGGATGAAAGTGTTTACCGTGGGCTTAGATGACAAGGAGAAATCTCAGAAGGCGGATCTAGAAAAGAATGATTCGGTAAAGGTGCGTTCGAAGAACTACTCGAAATTCTTTAAATCGTTTGCATGGTTATAAAATCCTTCCTATATCTCATAGCCAGCAAATCAGTATCTCTTCTGCTCATTTATCTCGGTATGGTTTTTATTGGTAAGCAACCACTAGCAATAGCCGCTCTGAAGAGCGTTCGTAAAGCGTAACTGTCTTTCTCCAGCGCTACGTCCTTTCTTCATCGAAGAAATTATGTAGTGCATCTATAATGAAAACCTGACGAAGAGGTTACTAACGGTTACCGGACTTGAGAATGGAACTGTTGATGCTGGTTGGGACGCCAATAAATCCGGGAAAGACATGCGCCCAAGCCATAAAACTGGATCTTCTTTACAACATTTTATTTTTAGCGTTGAACGAACTGGGTTCCTATTTGCGCTCGATTTCGCTCCTTCAGGTAATAGGTGGTGTTCGATTGACGCCATTATTTCGAGGTAGTTTAAAGTGACTGACGTGCACTTATAAATCGAATGAGGTCCTACCATCAGATACTATTTAAGAGGGCATTGACTGAGGAAACCACTGACATGCCTTCGTGTAAGAGTCTTCATCAAGGCTGTCAAAGTTGGAAATCATTCTTACCGCTGCTATAACAATTCCTGATTTGACAACTGAACCTTTCGTTACCTCAGTAGCCGAAGCTTCTTCCTGTTAGAAAATCTGCAGGAGCGATTTTACCTTGACCCATCTCCTCATGCCCTATTCCATTGCCGCTGCTCAACTCGAACTTGAATTCCGGAAAAATTGCCTGACTCACTCCACTTCAGTTGAATCCCAATGGGAATACCCCAGAGTAGTTCGCCTTACATGGTTAGAATGCTTCGGCGCGACGAGGGTTTCCAGGAACGAATTTTCTGAGTTGCAGGCTGCAGCGGATGTACCTCCTATGATGCCAGTTCCGACGCCAATCATTGTCCCACGTGCAGCACCGAAGAGAAGATTCGGATGTGGAGGTTGCTTTCGATTCAAGAAATTCGGCGATTGATTGTCAAAAATTCTAAAAATTTAAGTGCTTTCCTGGGTTGTGGCAGCGTTCTTCATCGTGCTCCTATGCTTGACTATTTCCGAGATAACGTACAACAGACAACGAGATCAAGCATTCCTCAGACTGAAATGGTAAGTAACGTATGACCAGAAATATCGGCGATTTGCCATGTTTCGAGCGTCTTAGTCTCAAATTGTTCATGAATGCATAATAGACAATGGCCTAGTCCACGCGATACATACATGACATACATTTTTATTTGATCACTTCGACAGTATACAATATCTGCCTAAGAAACCCGAAATCTGCGTGGGGATAGCAAACCAGAGTTTTTTTATTCTCAGATTTAGAGGTGCCTTTCTAAAGTTTGATATACCATTGTTTTCCAGCTGATTAAGCTTTCCAAGTTGGTCTTTGGATAACGGAAAAGGCCTGACTCGGAAGTAACTAGGTTTCAAATATAGCATGTCTGTCTGTCTGAGATTATAGCGACGTCGATAAACGATCGCGGATAACAGTCAATACTCTGCTGGAGTTTTTTGTAGTTAACAAGATTACAGGTGAACCTTAATGCCCTGAATATCAGTACGCGGCATATCCTTACGAATTGACTCTCCCTCATTTCCCTCTGAAAATTGCCCATGTCCGGGACGGCAGCATAGAATGTAGCAGTATGACAAAACCACTTGCAGGGGGTCCTCACACGTGTCTTCCGCACAAGACACGCGAGCGTTTCTCGGCATTATCCCCACGTTATTTGTTTCGTAAGGAGAGCAGGGGTGGTGTTCACTAGGATATTCCCCGTATTGTTGTTACAGTTACACAATGCCGAGGAAACGTCTCCCTAGACAGCGCTAACTTTGGTGGGAATCGTTCGTTTGTTCCAACAGTATCCCCCCAGATTCAGACCAAACCAGACCGATTCGACATTCCCTTTTAGGCTGTGGTAGAATCAAATGTTGGCAATCAGAAGTAGATCCTCTTGACATGCATTAGGGAGAATTTGGGGGCCAGATCTGATTGCCTTGGTCTAATCATGGTTTACCTAGGGCTGAACTTCGTCAACGTATGCTCGGATTTGAACTATTGTCGCAAGCTCAACAACAGGATGCACAACCGCAAGTTCAACAACCAGTAAATGAACTACCAGCTTTTCCAAGGCGAAATGAGTGAGTTGATTAATGTTTGAAGACCCAGACCGATTCTGGAGGGTTTCTTTCAGTCTGGTCGATAACATAGGGACAACGACTATTGCCCCTACTTCCGTGCCTTCAGAGAAGAACGTTGACAAGACTTCCTTCGAGGCAAACAACGACGAGTTGGTGAGTTCGAATCATGAGATGATGGAGTAATGTCATCGTAGTGAGAGGTCACTTTAACCGTGCTTCTCCACACGGAACCTCCGAAAAAAAGTGCAGGCGGTCATTTTCGGTCGTCAGTTCCGCCATAGCCAGCGACCTCTTTTCCGTTGAAATTGTCCAGTTACGGCGGTACATTAGAGTAACACGCAGTCAATCATGAGTTAATTTACCTGCTGCATAAAACTGGGCTGACACACATGACCGGATCACACGAATATGCAAAACCGCATGGGGAAGGATTAAAGTGACCAGTGCAATCCTTAGAAATGCCAGGGAAGCTAATAAATCTTAAGATTTATTCTGTGTTTATTTCGCTTCAAATGTTTATCAGAAGAGAATTTATTTGCAGTCTTCCAAGTTCGACCTTCTTCGTATGCTGCTATCAAAGATGCGTGAAAATGCCGAAGAAATGGGATTGTCTGGTGATATGCAGGTTCACGTCATTGAGGTGAAGCCAATGCCTAACAAGGTGAGTGCAACGGTTACTGGTTATCCCAGAGTACAATTGCTCTGAATTTCGTTATAGATGCCACAGCAGTCCATCGATGATGCTTTCGGTGAAATCGCGATGCCAAGACAGGTCTTCGGTCAAAGGCCCCACAGCGAGGAGGAGAATAACGAATTGTGAGTGGAAACCATGCAAGTTCGCTGTCCTGAGAAGGTTATGGATATGCTTGGCCTTTCAACAGATGACATGCAACCTATTTCAGCGGGCTTTTACGATAAATAATGATACCTCCAGAGAATACTTTCCAAATAAGTCAATAGGGGAAGAGGGGGAGCTTTCTAACATGGATTGCTGGTTATGGTTGGTAAAGGAAGTTGATCACTTAGTCACCCAACCCAGAGCTCTTTCCTTGCTTGATCTTGGGCTCAAAATGACCACTCGCTTACTTTTTCCTGGTCTCAACCTACCGGCTCTCAACTTCCCCTCTTTTTTGCTTATTGTTCCTCAGAATCCAGTGTTTTCCCCACTCAAGAATGCTCCTGCAATGTTGCGCCTTTTCAGTGGAAACCACATCGAATCACCGTGGCAGTTCGACCGGGAAAGCTCTCGTCCAACTCCATGGGTGCACCCATTTGAGAGGTAAGCAACCTGATTTGTAATATATTGGTATCACCTTCACTGTGCACTTCTCAGGATGAACCGCTGGGACGGTCCGCAGTGGGGACAGGAGAACAGATGGCCTCAAGAGAATCACATTTTCGAGGCTTTCCAGGATATGCCTGAAGAAGAACCGCAAATGAGGATCACCCACCATTACGACAAGGTAGAACGGCTTTGTTTGGAGCAGACCACAAACTATTTTTCAAAGCCCTTCTTAAGACTGTAATTGCGTCCGCTAACTGTTTTCAAATAGGACCTTCATAATTCAGACAAAATCAAATAAATTTTCAGTTCCCCCATCCCCATAGATTTACTAGTCGGAAGAAAAATCCTTATTCGATTTCCCATTCTTCAGGACAGTCAAACTCCTCAGCGAGTTGTGACGGAGCTTTTTGGAAACACCGCTCCTGAGGTTATTGGACACATGCTTGGACAGAGAAACGTGAGCTTACCTACTCTGATGAACGATTGTCATTTTATGAACACCTCCTTAAGCCTTACTGGGTCTGTCCCACTACCATGAACTGCAGGGTGTACAGGCATAAATGCGGCTGGTGTAGTGCTTGACCCTCCTCGGGGACTAGCTGTAGAATCCTGTGAAATCTTTCCAGCTTTACGTTGACCTCTCAGCTCTTAGCCGAAGGCTGTTCTCCATGACTTATTGAGATGACACTAAACTTCTGACTTTTTTACTGTGGGTATTTCACTACTGTTTCGCTATTACAGGCACAAGCTCAGTTGCAGTTCCAGCAGCAGCAACAAGCGATGATGCAACAACAACAACAGGCAATGATGCAGCAACAGCAGCAACCACAACCATGGCCTCAGCCACTGGCTCAGCCTCCAGCTCAGCCATTTTTCCAGCCATGGGTTCCTCCTCCACCTCAGATGTGGGATCAGCCACATTGGGATCAACTGCCTATTCCTCCTCAAGTTCCACCTATGGTCTACTTCTTCAACCCTGTACCAATGCCTCAGCAGCAATTCCAACAACAGGTGAGGCCGAACTTCATTGATATTCAGCTCAGTTGGTTTCCAGCTTTTTTTTTCCATGTGTTTGTTCATAATCCTCTGAAGCATAGAACTGCTCTGAGCGCAAAAATGCCCATTTCAGCTACCACCTCCACCGCCATTCCAGCCCGCCATCACACACCAGAACCAATTCCCTCTCCCTGTGCAGAACCAGGTACCATCTTTCGGCCCGACTCTATTTAGGTCTTGGACGTAGCTGTTATGATGTACATTCCCTACAAATTACTGGAACTTTAGGCTCCTATTGTACCTCAGCCACAGCCATTCCCTGTCGACAATAACAACAACGCGAACGCTTTCAATGACAACGCCGTAATGACGCCCTGGTACATGAGTGGTGACGATCAGAGATGGCAACAAACGTGGGAAAATAACAACAAGGTATAGGAGGAATCAATCACTGCTCTGGTAACATTAGGGGCTACTCATTTCGTATATTGATTCCATAAACGTCGTTATTAAAGGTTGACACTCCCTTTAATCCTCATCCAGCAGCCGCAGCAACTCCCGTAGTAGAGAATACGGCAGTAATCGACCAACAGCCAGTGGTTCTCCAACCTGCTCCTGGACAGCCCACAGGACACGACAGTGAAGGCATTGATGGCTTTTCGAAGGAGGTTAGTCAGTTCTCAAATCTCATGAAAAGGGTAATTGCTTCGGTATACAAATGAATGATGTGACTTTATCCTGATGTTCTTCTTGATGGAGAAAGGTGGATTCCAGGAAAAATTCAATGTGCCGGTAGACATCGCTTCTGATGTACCTCCCCAGACAATGGCGGTTGCACCGGAAAAGCCTCCTCAGGTCGACGTTCCCATGGTAAACCCCTGGCAGCATGCTCAGCCAGAGGCAGCTGAAGAGCCTATGGTAAGTTAAAGCGAATTTTAGAGTCACAGCTACGACCCTACTTGCCAAGCTAGCAGCAATCGTAAAGGAACCCTGAAGCCTAGGATTTTGAAAACTAATGTAGCTTCGGGTCTAATCAATTACAATTTGCCTGCAGTGATGAGGAGTATAGTATCGTTCTTATGCGGTAAAGCTATCGAAATCAATGTCCATTAATGAAGAATCACCAGCACTGTCTGCTAAGCTTTTCACATATCCATTGCATGACGACTACCATTATCATTTCATTGAGCTCGTCCTGTTTTCAATAACGACCTCTAATATCCCCTGATTTTTATTTTTTTACTTGTCCCACAATTTTTTACCATCGCACGGAGCATCAGCCATCAACAAAGCCAATCAAAGCTCCATGCAGTCCTCGTCATTCGAAGGCGAAAGCAAGTGATCCATTAGATCTTGAAAATTTCGTGAAGCTCTTCGAGTTGCTTTGTGACTTGCAAATTTGAACCAGTCCAACAGAGAATTGCTGGAACCCACCCAATAAGAACATGAACAACGAGTGGGCAAACCCTCAACCACGTTATGCTCATTTTATTTTGAATTCGTTCAGCCGGCAGCAGTACCACAGATGGCCGATCCGTCTTTGGGACCAGCTGATGACAAGGACTTTCTTCCATTGAGAGTCAGCGAAGAAGTGGCCGGCCAACCACAAAGCGATGCTGAAACGGTGAGACGATAGCTTTGGTTTGGGCATGATCATGGTGAAGGGAAGTCGTAAATAGCAAACAAAGTTTGAGCAAAGCCTCTACTTAAAGACAAAATCACCCAAACTCAATCCAATGTCCTCTTAGGCGGAAAAGATTTCACTCGCTCACTCGAAATTCGGCAAACTTTGAAAGGGCGATAACGTCCCCCCGCGTCCTGAGTTCCTTTTTAGTAGAAGATGCGATATCATTGCGAATTAGTGGTAAAGAGAATCCAGTAATCTAAGACACGCAATCGTTGATAACCAGATATGAATGTGTGGCTGCACTATTCCGAACTACTGTAAAAGTTTTTCCTACACTAACGGTTTGCTCTGTTTTCGCTATTCGTTTCAATGACATTCATGGTCGGCCTACTCAGAATCTGCTCTAGACCCACTTTACGACCGCGCGAATTTTTTTCTACAGGTGTATTTTGAATAGTTTCAGGGCTCTAATTATATGAGAGAACAATAGTCCCCACAACCATTCACCAGTGCACCTCTTATTATAATAGTCAGCAATCATTGTACAAGAGTCAGTCTCACGATTTTTGGAGCGTTTAGAATGCATCTGGAATAAGGCTCCTTCCCTGTAGGTTTCAAATGATAAAATGCTCGAGGGAGGTTACCAATGGTCACCGTTCGCTCTTGTTTGGGAGTTCACAGCTTCAGAAAAAGCCGCCACGGTATCTCGAATTACGGTTTCTATTGAACCTCATTATCAACGGTTACGTCTGAATTCGGATTACTTGAAATATGTAAGTATGGGGAAAATAGGTAAACTTCTGAGGTACAGCTTGGCATAAAGTAATAGGCAGTTAAAGACTGAATTCTAAGTGGTCATTTCGCCTTCGATTAGATAGCTTCTGCACTTTTTCGTGGGAAATCTTTTCTCAATACTCGAGAAAGAAGTTGTATCGCTAATTTCAGTCCCATCAAAAAAGTTCCAATGACCCGGTTTCCAACGGAAACGATTTGGTATCGTCCTTTATGCTTTTTGATTTTACCAATTGATCCTGTAACATCGACTCAGTAATTTTAACAATCTCAACAATTCACTGCTTGTTCGGAATAGTAGGAATGAAAGCCACAAAACTCGCAAATGTTGTACACGATTCTTCCTTCAACCATTTCAGGTTGGCGCTGTCGTTGTTCAGGACACATTCCCGAAAAAACAAGACACTCCGT